AATGTCAATTGCTGAGATTGAAAAAAATACTGAGGAGTTGGCAGTGAGCATAGTGGCTAGGGTCCATGTCCCAACTGCACACCTGATTCTGCCAGTTTCCTGCTGGTGTGCACCCTACTAACAGTAAGTTGTTTCAAAAGTGCTTAGTTCCTGACTACCCATGTGGGCAACCCAGGCTGAGCTTTTTAGCTTTGGCCTGGCCCAGTCTTGGGGTGCTGCACACATTTGGGGAATGAATGGGCAATGTGGAGATCTCTCTCCATCTGTCTCTTTGCATTAGCATTAATTCATAACAGTTGATAAAGTAGTTTTCTTGGTATTCAAATACTACTGCAGACTTAGACTTTTGAGAGTAGTTCAGGAGGAGGCATGCAATGGTACTGCACTAAGGACATCAGTCGTGAAATATGAGCAAACCTGAATTCCTTAGCAGTGCTTTTAACTGCTGAATTTCCCCAGCCCGTTCAGGTAGACAAGAGCAGCAAGTTATCAAAGGTGACATACTTCTAAAAATGCTATTCTTGGAGAAAGCGTGTTTTGTTTTGTTTTGTTTTTTTTAATCAGTGTGTGTGGTACACAAACAAAAGGGCAGACACGAGGGAGTATATCAGAGACTTTGAAGAATTCACGAGAGGTAGGGATCTGGTACAGTGAATAAGCCTCTGCTTAGAATATCTGCGTGCTATGCCAGCATGTGAGTTTGAGTCCTTGCTCCAATCCTGGTTCCAGCTACCTGCTCCTGTGTGCTCTTGGAGGCAACAGGTGATGGCTGAGCTAGCTGCATCCTTGTCCCCAAGGGGATAGAGCTCCTGACTTCTAGTTTGCAGCTTAGAGTGGCCCAGTACTTAATGTACAGGTATTCGGGGAATAAACCAGCAGATGGGAGATCTCTCTCTTCCTCAAGTAGAATAAACAAACAAAATAAACAAGCAAACAAAAAAAAATGCACACACACGGTGGGGCAGAGTTTGGGATCTCACCTTCTAGTTCACTCCCCAAATGGCAGCAATGGGCAGAGAAAATCAGATAGAAGCCAGGACCCAGGAACTCTGCCTGGGTTTCCCACATGTGCAGTAGGGACCCAAGCACCTGAACCATCACCTACTGCCCCTAGGGTGTCTTAGCAAGGGGTGGGATCAAAAGCAAGTGGTTAGAACTCTAATGGTGCTTCAATATAGAAGGTTGACATTGCAAATAGTGGCCTAACTGTTATGCTACAAGTGGGTACAAATAACAGCTTTAAGAAACCTTCAAGAAAGTCCTGTATGACAATGTATATAATAGGAAGCCATTAACATGCTAACCTTGGCAGTTTAAATAGCAGTAACTTAGCTGGAAGCCATCGCAACATCATGCATTTTGTGCGTTCACTTACCATGTCAAGAACCATTTCTTGATGTCCTGGTGAAGAAGTGAACTGTAGAGTGAAGCTAGCTGTCGAGGGGCTGATCGTGAAGGGAAGCTCTTGGAATCACAGCTGCCAAAGGGACAGATGGGAGGAGGAATGGGGAGAGGGCAGAAATGCACTCCTGTGCAGACTCCCCGCAGGCCTGAGCTGAGGCTACTTATCCCCCAGGGAGTCAGGACATTCGCCGTGGACCCTTTGTGGGCCCTGGAGCAGGACTTTTAACCTCTTGCATCTATCCTGCTACCCCAGGAAGAGGCAGGAAGGCAGGAAGCTTGGGTGAGTCAGTTTCAAAGAGGGCAGGCAGGTGAGGGGCCTTCTCTGCAGACAGCACCCTTGCGGCTATGGAGTCAAGTCCTCCACATCCAGGATGACCTGCAGGCCTCTCACGGTGTCCACTCCTTGAGGCAACACGCCAGTGACAAGATAGGCTTTTTGAACTGTTCGGAGCTTAAAAACACACAGCAAGATAATGAAACCTCAAACTCAGGGCTGTGATGGAAGAACAGGCTTAACGTGTTGGGGGATGGAGAGGAAAACAAAGGGTCTGCCCTCTGTCGATTCCACCATCAGAGCAGTGTGTAGGAGGGATGCAGAACAGAATTCCAGCGGCATGGGACCACTGCAAGTGATGACATGGGAACAGGAAGTACAAAGTAGACAACTAAGGTGGGGATAGCACAGACTGAGTAGGGAGGAAATTGGTCGTTCAAGGTCAATCCAGGGATCAAGCATCTCATTTCAAAGGTCACTCAACTTTGGTCCTGTGCCTTTGTCTCACTTCTTACCACTACTTTCTAGATTCTGTCGCTCCTGTAAGAATGGCCTCTGCCTTTCTGAATACACCACGTTAGCTTCCTTCTTTGCATTCTCCTTTGTTGCCAGTGCAATTAGGTCTAGCTCAGATTTCTCCTCCACCAGAAAAGCTTTTTCTAGATTTCCTGGCTTTTTTTTTTTTTTTAAAGGGGGAAGGGAACTTTTTCTCTCTCTACCATTATTCTCTGAATAAAGTAAAAATTCATGATAATAATGCACAAAACCCTGTACCTCTTCAGACTCATCTCATCCCATGCCGTGGTGTTTGACCGCCACCCTAAGTGGTATACTTGTGACTTATTTGTATTTTTATTTTCAGAAAATACTGCTGTATCTATATCATACTAGATACTTCATGGCTAAATTGAGTCCTCAGCAAAAATCAAAGTAAACCAAAATACATTACTAACGGAATTCTCCAAGGGTTTTCATCCACTGATCTGCTGCCCAAATGGTCGCAATGCTCAGAGGTGAGCTGATCAGAAGCCAGGAGCCAGGAGCCAGGCGCTTCCTCCAGGTCACCAATGTGGGTGCAGGGTCTCAACAGTTTGGGCCATCCTCCACTGCTTTCCCAGGCCATAAACAGGGAGCTGGATGAGAAGTGGAGCCGCAGGGACAGCAGCGACTCATACCCACGTGGAGGTCTGGCACTTCCAAGTGGAGGGTCAGCCTACCACGGCATGGCACCATCCTCACTTTAAAATAATTTTTTAAAGATTTATTTTCTTTTATTAGAAAGTCAAATTTACAGAGGAGATATGGAGGGAAAGATCTTCCATCTGCTGGTTCCCTTCCCAAGTGGCCACAATGGCCAAGCTGAGCTGATCAGAAGCAGCCAGGAGCTTCTTCCAGGTCTCCCACGCAGGCACAGGGTCCCAAGGCTCTGAGCCATCTTCAACTGCTTTTCCAGGGCACAAGCAGGGAGCTAAAAAGGAAGTGGAGCAGCTGGGAAACAAACCAGCACCCATATGGAATCCTGGTGCATGCAAGGTGAGGACTTTAGCCATTAGGCTACTGCATCAGGCCCTAAAGTATTTTTTAAAGTAGTTTTTAACATTTTATCTTTATGTGAAAGGCAGAGAGACAAGAAGGCCTCCTCCATCCTCTAGTTCACTTTCCACATGACTGCATCAGCTGGTGCTGGGCAGATTGATACCAGGATGGAATTCCATGCAGGTGGTGGGTCCTGCGCTTGGGCCGTCTTCCACTGCTTTCTCTGGCGCTTTAGCAACAAGCAGGATGTAAGGCAGAGTAGCTGGATATGTAGCCTGACCCCCTGACGCTGGATGTGGGCATCTCCTGCAGAGGTGCTGGCCACACACTCGTCCCCTTCTGTTCTTCCACTCGTGTGCTTCATGTCAGTGTGAATTCTAATGACATCATCTCGCTTCTTCCCAGAGAATTTAAGATTATTTCATCGGCCAGGCTGATCAGTGATGAAATTCTTCAGCTTGCCTGAGGAAGTCTTTCTAACTTTGAAAGGAAACATTTATTGGATATAGAAATTTAGTCTCCCGCCTCCCACCAAGTTTGCGAGCTCTCATGCATTGTTCTTGCTTGGTTTCTGAACAGCAGTCTGCTATCATGAATATCCTTATTCCACTTTTTTTTTTTTTGTGGTCCCTGTTAGTTCTCTCAGAGTTTTTTGTCTTTGATTTGCTGCAGTTTGATCATGGTTGTGGAATCTGCATTTTATTCCTTTGATATTTGATGTTCTTTGATTCCTTGCTCTATAGTTTGACATCTATCATCAGTTTTGGTTAGTTCTTTGTTATTATTTCTTTGTTATTTAAGACTTTTTCTGCATGTTTCCTTCTGAGAGCATAGCACAAAATATTCATGAAAAATGATATTAAAGATAATTGACATTTTCCATGATCTTCTGGAAGTCCCTCACAATCCTATTATGTTACACTCTTTGTCATCGTCTGTTATTGTTAATACTTGCATTAGCCATCTTGTCTTGAATGTTGTTAACGTGAACACATCCTTTTAGATCAAATCTTAGCCTTTTACATTCCCTGCCTGATGAGGCCGGCATCTGTCGCTCCGGGGTCGGCTTGCTCTCATCCCTTGCTGTGTCTTGTAGTTGATTGTTGGTGTTGTTATGACCAGGTATGTGGCAGTGTGGAAAGGTGCGAAGATGCACAGTTCTTCAGGACAAAGATTTGTAGGAATCTTGATGGGAGTTGGGCTCTACTTAACCTTGTTTTGTAGCTGCAAACCCCTCCAGTGGCCTTTGTTTCAGGTTTTGAAGGTTCCTTGTTTCAACTTAGTTGTGTCTTGGATCCTGAGACCCTCCTGGGAAGACCCCATTACCATTTCTGAAAGCGTGCCCCCCACCCACCCCACTGCGCTGACGGAGGCCTCCAGAAATTCCTCAATATCACTGCGTGCTCCCACTGGTGTGTAGCATCCAGGAGCTTCTGCTCTGGTGCTCACTGGGATTCCTTCTGGATCAGGTGTGGCCACTGCCTCCTGTGACCTCAGTCGTTGGATAGGTACAAGAAAAGCCACTGGCTCTTCAGCATAGCTTTTCTTGTTGTAGAGAAGGGTGTGACAATGTAGTCAGAAGAGCTAACATTCTCCACTCCTGGGAGTGCAGGAGCAGTGAGGTCTGAATTGTCTTCTTGCACTTGGGTTTGTGGTCAGCATTCCAGAGGAAACTACACTCACACCCCATAATTATTTTGGGAGGTTTGTGGTGGAAGGTTTCAGAGGAATGAATGACTCACATTGACCAAGGTTAGACCTGGGAAGAACATACCAATAAAAGCACTTTAGGAGAATCAAACAGAAAAGCTTTATTGGGGTCGAAGGACCTGGAAGGGTCAGCAGGAACTATGGTTGGGAATAATGGGCTGTGTATAATGCTTGCACTGAAGCCTGCTTTACTCTGTGGTCAGCATGAAAGTCACTACAAGATTTTGAGCAAATGTAGTAATATTGGATAAAATGTAAGGACTCTGGAGTAGTTGTACTACTTGAGACTTGGTGTTTGAAGACAGAAAGGAAAAACCAAGGGATGAGTACACAAAGAGTGTGAGATGCAACCAGAACTCTTGGGGCAGTGCTGGGGCTGAGGGGAAAGCCTGGGAAGAGCCAGAACTGAGCCTAAAACCTCTGGGCAGTGTGTGAGCTGACGGCGTAAGGAGCATGCAGTCAGCAGCGGAAATGCCTGATGAGCAGAAAACCAGAACAAGCTGTAAGGGACACCGAGGAGGGGGACATTTCCTTTTTTTCTGGCCTGTACAGGCTGACTCAGATCTGTGAAAGTCCACTAAATGCTGTGTAGGAAAGCAGCTGAGTGCCAGTGCAGCCTGGAGCCTTTCTCGTGGCGGGTTCACAGACATCATTTCCATGAGAAAGGGTGAGTACGTATTAGAAAGTGTCTGGATGTATGAATGAGAGGATGCCCTGTTCTTGGAATCCAGTCAGCTAGGGGTGATCCGTGTCGGCTGTCAGTTGTGACAGTGCAGGGCGCAGAATCACCTGTGATCTCAGAGGTGACTGAACAGTTTACTCCATGTCCTTCAAATCGATAACCTTGGCTGTAGGTGAACGTATTGGATGTTTTTATGTGCACGTACTACCTACGTAATTCACACTTGACACCCAGCGGTTTGCTTCTCACTGAAATCACCTGGTCAGTATTTAAAAGAAAAAAGCAAATGCTTGATAAAATTCAGTTATAGCCATGGGGCATTCATCAAGTTTGTGAAATGTGATTTTATTAATTAATAGGAGGACATGTCTTACTGGACACTGTCCCCCAATAAATAAAATTCCAGCATTATTGAAAGCACACAAACACAGTATTACAGGGTACAATACAAAGTCAATTTTGGTGATGTTCTTACGTTTACTAAAAATCTGAGAAAGATTATAATCAGTCTCTAAATACTGAATCATCTTGCGTAAAGAGAAAAGGAGAGCAGAGTTATTTCACAGGTTTTTGGAATGATAATTTAAGAAGAATCTGCTTTTAAAAGCTCGTGAGAGATCACAAACCAACTCACACCCTCTGCAACATGACCACATGGGACTTGCACTTAATCAAAAAGAAAAGCAAGGTAGCCGTCGGAGGCTGCATTCTTTCTTTCCCCACATGACACTATTTTCTATTTTTGGCATGAATTAGTCACCTTTTCCATCAGTAAGAAAATGTGCTCTGCAAACTCTCGGATGGCGCCCCGGCCACCGTTGCATTTGCAAATGTAGCCGACGGTCTTCTGGGCAGCGGAGCAGGCGTCGGCGGGCACACCGCTCAGGCCAGCCCGCTTCAGGCACTCCTCATCGGACACTTCGTTGCCTGGTGGGACAGAAAACACCTGGCTGAGCATCTCAGGAGGTGAAGAGAACTCCAGAGTGCGTGACTAACCTGGTAACCCAAGTTAACATCTCAACATGCCAAGGCAGCTAACCCTGGTAACCCGAGTTAACATCGAAGTCACTGCACAGAAGAAATCCAAGACTGGATCAAGCAAAACCAAAATATTTTTAAAATAATAACTTAGGGTTTTTGCTTTTTTCCTAAGGAACTAAAATGAAACTCTTAGCAGCTGGAGAGGAAGAATGGAATATAATCTCTGATGCTAACACTTTTTGCTTAGAATTATCAATAACTGTAATTAGAAATTCTGTACATGACCTACAAATTATTTAAATGCTTTATTAAGGAAAATTTCAAACATGCAAAAACCTCTAGTTCATCTGAATAGTTACCAACATTTTAGATGGTCTGTTCATTTGTATTTCCTTTCCTTCATTTTCCATAAGAGAGGGAGGGGAGTTAATTCCAAGACGTGACAGTTTACACAAAGACTAATCTTTAGCATTCATCTTTGGTAAACGTTCAGTTTTAGGAGGACACGATAGCATCAAATGCACAGAAGCAACAATAATTCCTTACTGCCATCTAATTACTTCATACCCATGTGCATGCCTTCCATTGTCTCAAAACTGCCTGCTCAAGTTGACCTTTTCTGAGTAGCTGGAAACTTGGCTTTACCCAGATCATTTCAGTGATCTCTACGCTAGCCCGTGGCAAGAGGGGAGTTTACTTCAGAAACTCCTGCAAAATGCAGTGAAAAGATTGTTTGGGTGTTAAAAAAAAAAACCACTCCCCCAAAATGAAGCAAAACAAAAAACAAACTGAAATGCATGCAGGTTTTTCATAACACATGCTTGCACCGAATTCCCTGAGGACGCTGTGTGGGCATTCTTGACTGCCCAGCTCACTGACCCCCCCCCAGCAGACTGGGGCTGTCCGTGGTCACCATTCTCTGGACCACACCTGGTGCTGCCCACCACGCTCACCCCCAGAAAGGCTGGCCCAGTTTAATATTTTGGTCAGCAGAGGAAGTTCCCATTTCTCCAGACTTATGCCAATTTAGGGGGGTTCTCTGTCTTATTTATCTATGGAAAGAAAGAGAAGGAAGGAGGGAGAAAGGGGAAAAGGAAGAAAGAGTAGGAAAGCCCTGACTGATCTCCCTGGGACAGCAGGAAAAGACACAGACCGAGATAGGCCACTTCCTTCCAGCACAGGCCCATTTCTCTGCGCCACTCGTCCACCACTGCCAGCTTGTCTGAAACGCTCACTTCCATTTTGCAATCCAGTTTTAAAGATGACAGTGTCTGCTTCGAACAGGCCCTCTCTGAAATGAGCCTCACCTAGAAGGAAAAAAAAGGAAAAAAAAAAAAAATGAAAGAAATCTTTCATAACCAAAAAAAAAAAAACCCCTAGAAATAATCCAAGTCACAAATGAGTAGTATTGCTCTTTTAAAGGAGAAATTCAGTAAAAATTGACTGCCATTTCAGCGTGATGATGTTTTAAGACAAAGCTGGATTTATTTCTATTCATTCAGTAAAGGAGAAATTGTCTTCTCCAATGGAAAGGCTTGGTGCAAGGCAGTGTGAGAGATACTAGCTAGCTTTTATTTAAGAGCATTGCGTTTGACTTACTGAATGGTCAGAAACATCACTTTCTATCTGACACATTCCTGAATTTACTCACCTAACTAGGTCATATGATGATTCTCTAGGGGTATACATGCTATAATTTAGGGATTCACAGAAGCTAATCAGTTTCTTAATTCCTTGCATATTCTTGAAAATGTGGCTTTATTTAGTCAGCACATACCTCGATACCACTTTTCTTTAACAAACTTATCCCAATGGCATCTTTTACATCATAGGATATTATTTCTTTTTGATCTCCTGATACATAAATGTGGCCATTAGTGAGACACCCATCAATATTGCAAACCAGAAGTTTTATCTCCTTCAGCTTCTCTTTGCCAAAATAACCAAATCTAAAAGAAATTAAAGCAGAAGTGTGAGCACACGTGCAACATAAACCATTCCTTCTCACCTGCAGCACCCCAGTGAACCCTCACGCATTCTCTCTGCAGTTCTCTTCAGCCTCGCTCTTCAAATTCACATCCACTTCAACCTAGTGCCAGAATCCCACTCAGTGTGGCTTCAGACTGGACCATCTGTTGCTCAGTGAGCTGAAGAAGCCACCTGAAGGTATATCTTCCACCCACACATTCCCTACATGAGCAACTAGTTAGGGAGAGCCTAAGACATTCGGAATACCAGAAGTCAGAAGGACAATTAAACATAAGTGGCGAAAAATGATGCTGGGCCCTAGCGCAAGTCCTCCTCCGAGTCTTCTCTTTTTTACCTTAACACTCTTTGCTCTGCAATAGGCCAATCAATATCCACATCAATATCCACACTATGCTCAGCTCGCATTTCGTAGTATGCCATTTTTCCACCCTAAAGATGGTACAAATGCCATGCGTGAGTGCCGTTGCAACGTGCATTCAGACATCAAAAACTTAATTACAATACAGAACAATGAACTCATTTCTACAGCTTAAGAAAACTGAATCTCCCGATAAAATACCTGACATACAACAAACAATTATTTAACAGAAAGCCCACACTCATCAAAAAACCTTAACATTTTTTCAGATTATAGCTATACAGTATAGATTCCCATTCTTCTTAAAGTAAACTTCTATTTTCAGACTGAGAAAAAAGGCAGAAATAACACCCACCCTCTAGTGCTCTGACTACAAAGGCTTTTTCTGCCAATCTTTTATACTGCCCTTCTTTTCCCCAAGTCTCTCCCATCATAGTCCACAAACAGCATGCACGTTTTCAGTTTGCAACTAACGAGCAAGACAGGAGGGAGCAACAGTCGCAGCCTCTGTCGCACAGGTCATCTCAGATTCCCCGAGCTCTAAATGAGAGTGGACTGCGGTGGTTCAGGCCAGAGCTGGGCACAGGCAGAGTCAGCCTCCCAATTCCAGAGTGAGGGAGGTGGGGAGGGAAAGGCCTTTTAGGAGAGTAATGGTTTGAAGAGCCTGACCAGTTGCTGAAAAACATTTTTTCAGAAGGCTCAGTCTCTTCACAGCCAGTTTTACTGGCAATGCCACTTTCCTCCAAACTTTAGGCCAGCGTTAGACCACAGCGCCCTCTACAGGGGAGAGCTGTATCTGTAGCAGCCAAGCCAGGGCTGCTGAGTACTGAACCTTGACTACCCAGCCAATCGGCTCTTGGCTGACACACTGCCTTGAAGACTAGGAAAACATTTTTCTCTATCCTTTGGAGCATGAGTCACATCAAATTTTTTGCTACTGAATGTGGAGGTTTTCTTTCTTTTCTGTATGCTTTTTTTTTTTGAGCAGTAAGGACTTGATGCCAAGTGTAATATCATTTACTAGCTGTTTTTGCCTTGAGCCAAGGATGTCATCTCTCAGTATTGACGTTTCCTTGTAAGCCCGAGATAGGAGTGTACACTTGATTCAGCAGCTAAGTAGATGACATGAGATAACCTATTGTTAAGCACTGCAGAGCGTCCTTGCTACCTGCTAAGTATTAAATAAGTCAACAGCAGTAACTACACCCTACTTCTTCCCTGGAACTCAAAGTATACACACAAAAAGATTTGAAAGGATTTTGCAAAATGAAGGCACGAACCTGTAAGTAGCCCATCTCTATCAAATGTCTTTTAGCAAAATAAAATGAGCCATTTTCATATAATTCTCCATCCCAGTCTTGTCGACGAGGCCGTTTAGCTGGATTCAAATTTAGAGGCTCTGTCACTTCACGAACTGAAAGCAAAAAGTCTCTATGAGTCCACATTGATTTGAGCAGAGAACGTTCGTTTAGGATGTTTTACTAAAGCAAGTCAGAATGAACTCGGGGGTGGGTGTGTCTGGCCTAGTGGCTATGATGCCAGCTGTTACATGGCAGTGCCTGGGTTCAGGCTGGCTCTGCTCCTAGCTTCCTCCAGGGTGCACTGTGGGGACAGCAGGTGGTGCTTCCTGACACCCATCTGGGAATCTGGAGAGCGAGATCTGGGCTCCTGGCATGCCTGGCCCAGCGCTGGCCAGTATGGGCATTCGAGGAGTGATCCAGCCAGTGGGAGCTCGCTCTCTCTGCGTCCCCCAAGTCAATTATATCTTTCAAGAGTGAGTTCAGGATGTAGAACATTTCCATATTTAGATAACTAGAATCTACTTTAAGGAAACAAAATTTTCTAATAATTTTGATACTATACCTTTGCTTTCCAAGAGTTAATAACAGAAAATTATTTTACAAAGGAATTTGGAATAGTTAAGGTGCAAATTATATTAATGTTTTATGCATATGTAAAGGTAACTTTAAAGTACTTTCAAAACAACTGAACATATTCGATATCTGAGCCCTCCAATCTACTTCTCAACGCGTCTATAGAAACGTGTGCTGTCTCCTTGGGTTTCATAGAATTCTTACAGAAAACTATATTTTCCCCACTCAATTATTGCAGCTTTACGGATATGCTAATAAATTATATGTTCTTACCAGTAATTTGAAAATACATAAGACATAATCATAACACTACTTACTTATTATGTTTGGTAGTGAAAGCCCAGAACTATCGACATAAATGAGCATAATGTGATGCGATAAACAACGCTGCTGCCATTGGTTTATGGTGATTCTCCTGCCTGTACACTGAATTTCTCTCAAATCTGTGTGAGTGGATGTGACTTTAATAGCTAGTCATTCTACGGAACCTTGCCTCTCTTCTGTTTATCACTGGTCTCTACTTCTGTCCCTCACCAAGCCATTCTGTTTCATCCCATGAGATGTTTGAGACAGGCTGGGAGGGAGCAGCTGCAGTAGTGCAGTTTGCAGGTACTGGGGAGACCTCAGGGAACACAACTCCCTCCCCTCCGCTGCAGAGTGCAATGTAGCGGCCGAGCCGGGAATGAACAGCTCAGGAGAAGGGAGGACAGGGGCCAGTCCAGCGGCTGCCTCCTGCGGGGTGAGACAAAGCCCAAGCTTTGTCACAGGCAGCCGGGTTCTGCTGGTGAGAGGAGAAAGCAGAGCTTTTAATGGCAGGATTCCTAAACACAGAGCAGAGCTACTTCTTTCCATCCAATGATACCGCTACAGGCTTTCCACCGAGTGTGCCTCAGTATTGTCAGCCAGGGATGGGCTAAAAGCCAGGGTGAGATCCTTCAATTAATGTGCTAGCAACAGCGGGCTGGGTGAGTGTCAACAATGGCTGAGAGTTAAATCTGCAGATACCTACACTAGCAGGTCAACAGAAATGAAAGATTCAGTCCAGTCCAAATCCTATCTGGATCAAAGTGATTAGCCCCCAGGTAGCACTGTGGCATACTATATTAAGTTGCTTACTAATGTGCCTGGGAAAGCAGGGGACGATGGGCCCTTGCACCACGTGGGAGACTGGGATGTATCCCAGCTTCAGGCTGCAGCCTGGTCCAGCTTTGGCTGTGGTGGCCATTTGGAGAGCAAATCAGCACATGAAGAGATATGTTTCTCCTTCTTTCTGTTTGTAACTCTGTCATTCATATAAATCAAATAAATCTTAAATTAAAAAGTAATTAGTTCCTCATCCTATCTGCCTGACAGAAAAAAATGTATGCTTTCCTTAATGAAAATACAGGTCCCAGGCTTTATGTCAGGCATGCGATCAAGTAGGAGGCTTAGGGAAAAGCAGAAATATGTGATTCAGAATCAAGAGACAGTCCTAGGAATACACAGAAATGGATCGGATGTCAAAATTTATAATCAGGGACTTTCAAACAGCTATCATAAATATGATAAATTAGAGGAAGCGATTCAAAAATAGGAAGATGGCAGGATTTCAATAGAGAATGAGTTCTGTGAAAAAACATCTCAAATCCACATTACTGATTAGCAAAACAGCATCTGAAAGAAGGCACCAAATAAAACTGAATGTAATTTGAGGAGTGAGCCAGTAGATGGAAGCTGTGTCTTTGCACTGGTCAAAAATGGGAAAGTAAAAGTTTTTAAGATTTAATAGATTTTTCCTACATTTTATTTCTGAGATTTGGTGAAAACATTCAGAACAAGTTTACTGAATGACATCTATGCATAATACCTTCATTGATATTTTATTGGTGCTGATAACAACTAAATTTTCAAGACTGGAACAAGAAATCACAGCAGTCTCTCCATCCTCTTGGCTCTCGGGTTGCCTCCCCTCCTCCGGGAGCACGTGCACCTGCCTTGGTGTGTAAGTCACACATGTCAGAGACAAAGCAGCTGTCCTAAACGCAACAACTGTCAGAAACCGCACTGCCTCTTCCCAAGCACCTTACATGTTAATCTATCAGTGAGTGATCCAGTCTTTAGTATGTACTGTGCAAGCTTACCTGGCTAGAAATCAGGCTCCTGCTAACCTTACAGAACCCTTCTGCTGGATATGTGGGGTGACAAGCTGGGGGAAGTGACTGGACAGTTTCCCTTTTGAGGTTCTCGAGAACTCCCCAGTGGAGGTCTTCTCACATGACACGCAGCGAGTTTATCAAACAAGCCCAGAACAAACACAACCTATTTGATCTACAAAAACCTTTTCATCCATCTTTAAATCACTTCCTCTGGTTTCGTTAGCCCTCCCCCTCAAAGGGCAAGCAGAGAGAGCATAAGAAAGTTGCTTTGTCAGGAATAAAGCAGAGTGGGTGTGGTCTCACTGTCGCGTGTCAATCACAGGATTCAGAACGAATTATAAATGCTACTGCCTTCTGCTGTAATGAATTGAATGTTCTCAATCCTTTCCACTCTGTTAATTCGTAAAGAGCATTTATATTCCAAAAAAAAAAGTGACTGAATAAAGGAGTTCACATGAACGCTAACAGATTACCTCCTTTCTGAATCTCACTCCATCGGAACTGATGGCGCCTCACAACAGAGAAGACGGAGTCGTATCCTTTTTCTCGAATCATCTCTGCCACTTTTTGAAGATCAGTGGGGTGTAAACATGGAGATGTAGCTTGAATGTTTCCAACAATGTCAACCTCTGAAGAAGACAAAAGAAATAAAAAAGACAGCAAAATGAAGTTCCTTGCCAGCCATAGTCAGGTCTTCAGGTGTAAAAGCAAGTTTTGTGAGATGATACGCAAGCTGGAAATGGCATAAGACTTTAAAGGAGCTAGTAATCAAAATCATACCATTGTGGTAACTAAGAAATTCTACGATGGCATCTAGTGAGGTAGAGCTGTCTTTGGAGGTTTCGGAACTTCTTCGATGCACTTGGGCACCGAACTGCTTGGCCACATTCTCGATTTCATCATGGTCTGTTGAAACCCATACACTGTTGAGAAAAGAAGAAATTAACGGTGAAATCACTAGAAGAAGCTACCAATGGTAAAAAGGGAGGCTCTGTAGTTCCTTGTTAGAAGAGTTTTTGTACCACTGATATTATGCCCAAGATTCACAGCCTTATACAAAGTTGAGATAAATTTTATATAATGTCTGAATAAAAATGCAGCCCTAGATATACTTCACTTACATATAGTTAATGTATCGTATAGTTATCTACATAATTATTATTTATGTAGTCCTAGAAAGTTTTTTGAAACTACAAAAAAGATACTTGGTGTTTTTAAGATCATTGCTATATTAAGCAAAACTGCATTATAAGTCAAGTCTAAAGGATCATCAGGAAACTCCTGCTGCTTATTTCCCACCCAAATCCAAAACTTTAAATCCAGTACTTCAATATGCTTTTTACAAAAAAAAAAAAAAAAAGACTCGCCTTGGCCAAACTCTAGAGCTGAAAGCTTCAAGCTTGGGAGGGAGCAAAGGTGCCCAAGTCTGAACTTATTGTGATGATCCACCTCTTTTTATAAGCAACGGACAACAGGAATATAGACATTCCAATAAAGAATCACAGGGTGACGGCCACTGTTAACAGACCTGCAGTCAGTACACAACCTGATTGGCTCTGGAGAGTCTGACTTAGCACAGGATGAATCACAGTTTACACAGCTGCCCATTTAAACTTCACACGATGACGAAGAGCAAAATGCTGTTGGGGAGAGAGACCGTCTCTGCTGACATTTTTGTCTGCTGAACTTCCACAAATTCCTACTGCCACAAACAGGTGTGAACATTCCTCTACCCATAATGCTCCAACAGTGATATTATGCAAAGATGTTTTAATGACTCGTGGTCTCTTTATGAATCCCACTTAGTCAACATCTACTGAGGGCAAGAAGAACGAAATGTTTCGTCTGTCTGTGCTCATTTGTGGAGGTGAAAAGAAACTAGAGAAAATTTTCTGATATCTGAATTGCACGTATTAATACTTGTCAGAAGATTTAAATCAAGGGATATAGTCAGTAATGACAACGCAATGATTTAAGGGCGTCTGGACAACAAGACAGTGCATGGGCTAGGGATCAGGAGTCTTTGGCTACCTACTCAGGCCACTATGCAAGGCGGAACATGGCAACCCCTGTCTGCTTCCATGTTGAAATCTGACAGAGTTTTAACATGTTTCACTGGGGAAATGGCATGGTCAATGCTATGGAAAAAAATGAAGTGGCAATGGAAACTCAGAGCATGTAACAACAGAGAAGTGGCATGATGATGAACATACGGTAAAGTGCAGTGAGTCACAGCAAAAGATATGGGCCTTCCACATCTAACCTACCCGTTAACTCAAGCAAATCACTAAAATATTGTCCTTCTTTTCTGCAATAAAAATTCAGCATCAGAGAGTTCACTCATCTTTGGGAAGCGTTTTATACAGGTCAGTTTTTAAAAAGTTCTGGAAGAGGTCTGATTTTCTTTCATCCTCTTTGATTTCATTCATTGGCTCACTCAGTGCTGATTCTGTCCCAAGCACTGTTTCCTATCCTGAGGATGCAGCTGTGCCTACAACGCAGTTCATTTTCTTGAGAAACTCTTGGCCTTTGGACAAGGGATGGAGGCCAAAGCAGCAATGTAGTTCCCTTGATAAGCATCACAGCAAGAAAGGTGAGGAGCCGACTAAATGACCATGCTCTTAATATGCCTTCCTTTTCACAAAGAATGTTTATGGTGCCTGCTATAAACAAGGTGCACAGGCTGTACCTGCACAACAAATGTGTGAAATTGGGACTAGTTAGAGAATGGGCTCAGAGGGAAGAAGCTCAAAACCCACTCCAACACCTACTACCCGGAGAAATTCAGAATCCCCGTGAGCCTCCACTTTCACTACAATTTAGGAGGTGATACTCCTGGGCACCACACAGTTATCACCTGGACTAAATATGAACTGCTCACCACAGCATAAATACTTAATAAATGCCAGCAATTAAAAAGACCACAATAAGAATGGTAATAAAAGAACGTGTACGTTGTCTCTTTTAATCCTCACACCGAATCAGCCAGAAGTAAACCCAAAGTGCTGCCTTGAGATCTTGAAAAGGCCAAATGTCTGACTGGATATCAGGTAAGGCAGGGGCACTATGGATACAAAAATATGAAACCAGCACGCTCGCTGTCGACCGTCACTGCAGTGAGCAAGCCAGTCCACTGAGCAGATCATTTTCTTTCAGTTTCGGAGTCACCCGATGAGACGGACAGAAGAAAAAAGAATGAGCAAGTGAACACACAAGCTTAATAAGATTACCAATCAGGTGGCGTGAATGTCAAGGTTGAACACCCATGGCTTCGTTCCCAAGTGAAGTCATATGCCATCTAACAGGAGGAACAGGAATGCCAACGGGGGAGGGGGTGACCCTGATGGTTATTTCCTATCACAAACTGCCCTGCTAGGGACAACAGCAGCACAGACCTTTCATTAATGATAAACATATGCACCAGAAAGAATGAGAATTTGCTTTTGACGAGTACATTATGCAAGATCGTAAAAATCAATCTGTCTGGAAGTCCACTTCAAAACTCTGAATCACTATGGAAAACCAAGTTCTTACAAGGTCAGCCCTTGCAAAAATTCTTTACTAATAGAAAATGATTTTTTCCCTTGAATATTAGCTATCCTAGCTATTAAGCAAAGTATTATTAATTTTGATTCTGTGGAGGCCAGAAAAATATGCCTCAATTAAGTCAGGTCCCAAGTTTAAACAAACTAAACACTCCTCAAGGTACTTTACCCTGGAAACACGAATCGCACAGCTGCAATTTTCTTCATTTCCTTCCTAAAATAGATATTTTCTGAAAAGAGGAGAGGCAAGAACACTTCAAAGTGCAGCTGCAGTAAGGCTGAGCCAACACCAGAAGGCGCAAATGGGCTCCACTACCCGGAGAGGTGGTGCTCATGGCTTTTTCATCTGTGTGCAAGACCTGGGTTGAGTTCCTGGATCCTGGCTTCAGCCGGGCCCAGCCTTGGTCATTGCACACATTTGGGGAGTGAACAGCAGACAGAAGCTCTTTCTGCCTGTGTGCACCTAATATTTTTATAAATTATTCTACATTGAAAAATAAATAAAATTATTCTACACTGGATATACCCACAAGATTTTTACATGGTGTGGGGTACCCCAGGTCCACCTGGTTCTCACCTCAGCCATACTTCCTCATTTGTGCACTTCTGTGGCCACTTTGACAACATAACCCTGCAGAGGTGAGGGGCTGTGACACAGATCACGTGGTCTGCAAAGTCTAAAACATTTACTATGCAGCATTTTAGAGGGGGGGGAAAAGTTCACTGGCTACTAAAACAGGATCAAGGCGTACTTCTTTGAACTCTGCCATGTCAAAGAATGCTGATGAGGGGAAGAATTTTGCAGATGGCTGTTTTGCCATCAAACTGTCGCAGCCCAAGGAAGACTTGAAAATTGTAAAAACAAACAAAACCCTCTAACACAAGGACAACCCTACAATGTGCCAGGTACCATCTGAAGGGCAGAACACACACTGTCTCACTTAATCCTGTGAGCAAGCCTAGTAGGTAGACACAAGTTGTGTTTCCAGAAGTGGAGACGGCAGTAGAGGGGAAGTGATTCAGTCACGAACGCAGTCAACCCATGGCAGAGCTGACATGTCAGCTTGACTCCGGACTCTGCAATGCCACACATCACACTGGAAAGGAACAAAGCACTCTGACTGAGGCAAGGCTAGTCTCTCACCTCCTGAGCTACACTCCATGTTCCTGGAAACAATGCCAGACAGCAGGTAGCCATGAGCGGGGAGAATACAACCGCACAATCGAATGACAGTGACACTTAGGGAAGGCCGACCATCGATTCCTTCTGAACAGTTCTGTCAAAGTGAGTTTTAATCATTAAAAATGAGAATCTATTTCCTGTCACTTTTGGGAGTGGGACACCAATTTTCCTCTTGATGAGACAACCCATTTCCATTGTGTGGGGTTGGGGCGGGGAGCGGGGGCTTGGGGAACCTCCGAGTGGCAGCTGTGGCTAAGTGTACCATTTTAAGCATCAGTGCCACAGTGACTAGTTCAAGGACAAGTATGGAACCCAAAGGAAGGCAAATGGATTTCTGCTACAGCTCTGAGAATGGTTTTTTCTGACTAGACTTCAGCTGGAAGGCTGTGATGGATGCTGTCAAGGACAAAGCCAGACACTAAAGTGGGACTGGCAGGGTGTACCCTGTAACTACAGCAGGAAGATGGCAGTGTGGGCTGGATTTGAAAGTTCCAGAAACTAACAGACTTTCTAAGAACTGATGGAGTCCCTGTGATTGGCCACCTGGTGCTTTTCTGGAAGAAAGGCAACCTCAGGTCAGGGCAATCCTTTAAGTTGAAACAAGAACCAAAATTAGGCCCCCACCTTCCCATGGGACTGGGAAGGAGGCAGTGCAAGAGGATTCTTAGATGCTTAAGCAAACACTCCAGTCTGGTCAACTGGCATCTCAAAGGGCATTGAAAGCTTCTGTCACAGAAAGCTCTCTAAAGTAACCGCAGCAGGAGGAGATTCAGGGGCCACGTCCGTGTCCCAGGCTTATCTGGGCATAAACCACACGTTCTGGTGATGGAACTGGGCCTCTTGGAAAGGTGCCTGCAGGAGGGCTGGGATCATCCTAGGAGTGAAGCCTGGAGCAGCTAGGAACCAGGCCCCAGTGTGCTCAAGTCGCTCACCTTCAGTGCAGAGTTCTGCAGTTCTGAGGATGACCAAGTGCTTGGTGACAACGCAGCCTACCCAGAGCTTCCGACACTTCTTAGCTCACTGTGTGCTTCTTAAAAACACTCACACTGCTTCACTCATATATAGATATGTTTTGTATGCTTCATGTCTCTATTGCAGTGCAAGCTCCCTAAGGATGGGGACTGACACCATGGCTACAACTCTGACCTCTGGTCCAGGGCTCAAAGCCAGACCTATCACACAGCAGACAGGTAAGTCAACACGTATTTGCTGAACACAAACATCAAGTTTCTTCCTTGAATGTGACTGCATCTGGTAGAAGCCCTAACCCTTCTGGTTACGCCAGGCTGACAGGTGTTACCAGACATTCCCAAGCAACCCAAGAGTCAATGAGACTCTTGTTCTCCCTGTACTATGAATCCGACCTTGATCTCTAGTTCATTTAACAAACACGGGGTTTTACTCCATTACTGTGGCCTGGACGCACCCACTTCTCTTATCCCTCGTGTTCTCAGTCTTCCCCTAGTCCAAGATGGTGAAAATACCCAAACACAAGGACCAGAATCCTGTCCCATTCATCTCCATGTGCCCTCTGATGTGTACAGTGGAGATTCGGGCTCTGCAAATGTTTGCTGAATAACCAAGCCCCGAGTCCTTCTCTATCTCTCCTCAGCACACTTCCTGTCACAGGAGTGTTATCTGTGGGCACCCGCTCCTCTTGCTAATTTATATACGCATATAGATGAATGTATCTGGCATTTTCTTTGTCAAATAAAGCCATTTGCAACAGACATCATTTACTTGTATATGAACATGGGTAATCGGCCTGTCTCATCAACAGCCATCTCTTGAAAGATCAAAACATCAATTTCCACAGAAACGGGCACATTTTGCGTGCCACGAGGCTGGGGTAACTCTGTGTTGTTTAATGCATCCCCAAAGAATTTTCTCTCCCCTCTTCCATGAATGACATCAGCTGCTAACTCCCAACCAAGCTGGCATACTGGGCAGTGTCTCTAAATGTGGCGCTGTGCATACAGCCCTCGGGGCGGACAGTGGTCTATCACAGCTCAGCCAGCTGCGCGCCACCCTGCAGTCCCCCACCTGTGTGAGGACACACACACACACACACACACACACACACACACACGCAGCGAGCTTTCAAATTGTGCTGACTCACAGGCAAGCAGCTGGAGTCTCTTTCTCAGAGGATAAGGAAAAGATCTCCAAGCTGAGTTTAAACTAGGAAGCCCCGTCAACGGACTCCATTCATGAACCTGCGAGCTCTCTCATCCACCAGCCCCCATCCCGAGCAGTGGCAAGGCCAGCTCCCAGGCCTGTCGGTAGGGGCTGGCCTCCAGGTGACAGGTAGCCACGGCAATTCGATTCCCTTTTAGGGACCAAACGCTCAAGGGCGCAGACCACAACTGTCTCGGCTGCCGAAACCAGGAAGCAGCCCGAGTCCTTCAGCGCAGGGCGCTGCGCTCGGCTCCGGACACCCCCTTGCAGAAGCGATCGCCGCCCCCCCGCAGGTGCACCAAGGCCCTGGGAGCTCCCCCAGCTCCTGCAGCAGCCCGGCTGGCTCTCTCCCGACCCCCGCCCAGGCCGCGCCGCCCACTCTCGCACATGCGCACCTCTGGAAGACCCCCGAGTCCAGGGCTGCACGCAGGACCCAGCCAATGAGCGGGACCCCCGCCAGGTGCTTAATGTTCTTCAGGGGGATGCCTTTGCTGCCGCCCCGGGCCAGCACTAGGGCCGCCAGGTGCGGGGGCTTCTCCACCCCTCGGCCTTGGCCGCCCCGGGAGTTGCGCTGCAGCTTCGGCGGCCGGCCCCGGGACGGCCGCCCCCGCGGATTGGAGACGGAGGTGGCGGCCCCCTTCTCCACCGAGTCCATCTTCCTCCCACGCCTTCTCCCCAGCTTCTCCACATCCGGGAGCTCGTCCCCCGCCACCTCAGCTCGGCGCCGCCCGATCCCCGCCCGGCCGCTAGCGCCGGCGGCGGCTCCGCGCCCCGCCCCCTGCCAAACCCCCGCGCAGGGCACGCCGGGAGTTGTAGTTCCAGGCCGCCTCGCCCGGGTGCTGCAGGCCGAGCAGGTAGGTACCCATAAGGTGACCCCAGGCCAGAGCCCAGCAGCTATGATCCAAGTTTACTTGCGTGATAGCGTCTACAGATGTATAAAATAAGCAAGAGACGTCGCTGATTTTTTTTTGCTAAAGAATTTCTGCAATTAAGAATGGTAATGGGTTTCCTGCGGCACATCTGGACACACCCTGATTCAAGTCAAATTTATGTTTTAACCTTGTATTTCGGACATATGCATCTTTATCCTAGGCTCATGGAAAATTTGCTTTTTATAAAAGACGTTAGCTCGTGCAAGTGTCCTACAGGCACTTTCAAGGCAATACTTTTAGAAGCTTGTCTTTCCCTATGGGCGTCTACTGTCTCCACACCTATGCCTCCAGCTCCATCTACGCAGGTGTCAGGCTTGGCAGTCAGCTTCCCTGTGCCTCTGTATCGTACCGCACACCTGTTGCCCTTTTATGTTTAAGTTTGTCAGAGATTTATCAATTTATTTACTTACAAGGCAGAGTTAGAGAGGGGACCAGGCTTAAACGGAGGAACCAAGGACTTCTTCTGGATCTCCAATGTGGTGCAGTGGCCCAGGAACTTGGGCCAGCCTCCATTACTTTCCCAGGTGCATTAGCGGGGAGCTGGATTAAAAGTAGAGCAGCTGGAGCTTGAATTGGTGCCCTTAGAGGTTACAGGTAGAGGCTTAGCTTCCTAAGCCACAATACTGGCACCATGTTTTAAATTTTTTTTATCATCTGCTAAATACTTTTTTTCTAGTAGGAATTCTTGGTAAGGTTTTTATCCATGTCCTCTACTGAGCCCACCTAAGTTACTTCATCTTTCTGCATGCAGCTGTTGTCTCTGCGATAAGATGTCAACAGGGCCTGTTGTCTGCAGGCTGCAGGGCCTGTTGGACTCCTTTCTGGAGATTTCTGGGAAAAAAGGCTTTTGCGTTTCTAGGTGCTCAGGATCTTGTGAACCTGATGTTTTAGAGCAGGTGGGTGGAGGGAGACAGGAGGGTACCACCACTCTGAAATGGCCATCTCGTGGGGCTGATGATATCGCCGACAACGACAGGGAGGAGAAAGAGCCGTGAAGGTGGCGGTCAACCCTCTCGATCCAGTGAAGAGGTTCGCAGACACATGTTTCCTATGGATTTGTAAGCAGGTTAACATAGCACATGTCTTGATTTCCACCACTTTTGCAGGTGTGTATTCTGGAAGCAGAAAGAGTGCACCAGGACATGGAAGGTAGTAAGTTGTTGTTCGTTCTCAGAGAGGGCAAGGGCCTCTGAAGGGGGCAGAATACGGCTTCTGTGGCTCTAGCTGTGTGCGTAGCTCTGTGCGTGCATAGCTGTATGTGTAGCTGTGTGTGTGTGTGTGTGCGCGCGCGTGTGTGTGTGTGCGCGCGCGCGCGTGTGTGTGTGTGTGTGTGTGTGTGTGTGTGTGTGTGTGTGCGTGTGTGTGTCCACATCCTTCCCTGAATTAGGAGAGCTGTGAGTGGACATCAGCACAGTGCCTGGAACCATCCCAGTGCCACAGGTCAGGTGGTCCACCTGCTGCCACACCCCTGCTCCTCCATGAGGGCCTGGGAAGATGCAGAGCCAGCCAGCCAGTGACTCACGTTTGGCAACCAGGGTGGGGAGAGGAGGCCCGCTTCTTCGCACACACCAGGGTCGGGAGAGGAGGCCCACTTCTTCGCACACACCACTGCCACCGCAGTTCCCAGTGTTGCTATACTTGCTGTTTGGCACGTTACACTGAGGCTTGGTGCACAGGGCACTGATGACTGAGGGGGCTGCGTTCTGAAGCATGCTGATGTCTTCAAAACTGGAGACAGAACAAGTCACACCACTGTCGCTTGTCTCATATAGTTCCAGAGCTGTCTATAAAAGCTGCAGGCCTGCAGACTCCTCAGGGGAGGGACTGTTCCTTCTTTGTGGTTTTGCAATCCAGAACAGTTCATGGTTCATAGTACAAACTTTACCAACTGCTTATCATATCACTTTCCCAGCCTCTGCCCACGTGTATTTTTAAATATAGTTAAAATCTTATGAGAAGAAAATATTCTGTATTCGTGTGTTGTTTTTTGGTGGTGTTGTTGCATATTATTTTGTTAGACTTGACAATGGCCTTTCTTAGTGTTGGAGGGGTTGGGGGGAATGAAAGGGAAGAGGAGAGAGAGAGATAGAGGGAGTGAGGGCGGGAAGGAGAGAAGAGGGGAGGGAAGAAAGAGAAGGAAAAGCAGAGTGCATTGGTTCAATCCTGGCAGTCCTACGAGGGATGAATGTCCTAACCATTGTACCAAACACTTATGTCTGAGATGACTCTTGAAAGAATGTTCTAGACTGAGGCAACAGCACTGGGAGGAGCACAGAGGAATAAAACAGTATAAATTGAGGAGCTTTAAGTAGGTCGCAATGACTGAAGTCCTATGACACTGATTGGTTAATGGGAACATTAAGGACTAGAGAGGAATGCATGGGCAAGGTTATGTCACAGTCAGTGGAAGGGATCTGCGATGACTCACTTCATTCTTTCAACAAATTGTGGTTTCATGACTTCTGACACTGGAGATGAGGGGAAGTGCTCACATTCTGGATATGTCATAAATGTGTAACCAATGGGGTCCTCCAACAGACCACAGGAAGGGGAAGGGAGAAGGGAAAAGGTGGGGAGGGCACGAAGTTCTTTGGCATGACCAGTGGTAGGTAAAGCTGAAATAGAAAGACTATCAGACGGCTAAATTTGGGAGACAAAATTAGGAGTCATGTTTCATGTTATGTTTTTCAGGAGTTCAGACTCAATTCTTTGTATTATAACAATGAAGAATCATGGCTCAATAAAGACGGCTGAGTAAAGCAAGTGAAAGTGGATTTTATTGAGAAACAGAGACTCCTGTTTGCCAGGATGGGTCCCCAGGCAGCAGTTCCTCAAGGTCGGGGTACTGGGCACTTCTAGAGGGCATAGCAACGGATCAGTTCTTCTACACAGTTTCATACGTCAGGGATCTCCCTAGCTTTTTCTATGTGTCTTGTAGAGCGGTCATGGTTTCTGACTAGTTAACAAACATTACCATGTTGATCCAACTTGGGAGAGATGAAAGTTGAGAAATAATGCTGACCTGGCCAATGAAGGCGGGTTATGCCTAACTCATCATCAGTGGCTAAGCACTTGAGTTGTGTGCTTTGTGGTGTGTTCTGACACGGATCTTGTCTAGCTCTGCTTGGGTGTGGGCGCCACTGAGTTCTCTAACCATCAGTGTTTTCATGTTCGGGGAATGGGGCAAAATGTCGGATCTTTTTGATTAGCAGGTGGCAGTTTCAGTCATCAGTAAGAAACACCTGATTGTCTTTCCCCGGGGGACAGAAGAGGGGAGCCTGTTGGCCTAACTCCTCACATTATGATATAAATAGGTATAAAATTATATTATATAGATCATATAAAAGGGTATAAAAATTGTCTTTTGGCTATTTTGGCTTAGAGTTCATGACAGACATCTAGGATGGAAATAGAATTGGAGTCCTAACCCTCTGGGCACCATTCCATGCTACAAGACAGTGGTAGATACAGAAGGTGCTATAGGAGATGGGGTAAGATGGAAAACTGGTAGAAAAGAAGTCCTGAGATTGAGCCCTGGGGGTCTCTACCATGTAGATGAACAAAATAAAGAGGGGTCTGAGAAGATGGCTGAGTGGCTAAATCCTGACTTTGCATGTGCCGGGAATCCTATATGGCCACCGGTTCATGTCTCAACCGCCCCGCTTCCCATCCAGCTCCCTTGCTTGTGGCCTGGGAAAGCAGTGGAGGATGGCCTAAAGCCTTGGGATCCTGCACCCACGTGGGAGACAAGGAAGAAGTGTCTGGCTCCTGGCTTTGGATCAGTTCAGTTCTATCTGTTACGGCTACTTGGGGATTGAACGAGCACAGAGAAGATCTTTGTCTCTCCTTCTTTCTGTATATCAGCTTTTTCAATAAAAAATAAATAAATCTGTAAAGAAATAAAAATAAAAAAGACAGAAAAAGGAATGTGAAGTCAGCCAGAGACTGAGATAGACTGCAAGAGGACAAGCAGTGTGGAAGCCTGAGACCCAGAGCAAGCTGCTGTGAGGAGGAAGATGTGACCGGTCATATCAAATGCTGTGATTACACTGTGTGAGGAAGAATACCTTATTATGTGCTATTGTATTTAAGAGGTGAGTGTTATGAAAAATAGCTCCACAGGCTTATGGTGGCAAACGTCTGGCTGGGCCAGCCCTGTTGCTGAAGGAGCCCTGGTTGGGGATGAAGAGGCTGGAGACAGAGGGGGTTATCCAAAGGGGCTATCACAGACGTCACCCAGAGAGGTGCCAGCCTGCTTGCCCTGTCCCTGCTGTGCACAGAATGTGACCGGGTTGTGTTTGTTGCTTCTTTCCCGTGTGTAGGAGTCTGTGCCCCTGGGAGGAAGCCAGAAGTATGGGTGCCCTAGTTAACACAATGTCCGTTTCTCCCACAGCCAGAATGTGGGCAGAGTTCTGCAGATCTTGATAAAGGATTCAGCAGAAAACATTGTTTCCTCCACAAGCCTCAGGCTCAGTGGTCTGTGCTTTCAGATCCTTTCTCATTTGTTTGTAAACTGACCTTGGGAAAATGACTTCTCTTCTGTGAGACTAAATTTTTTCCATCCGTCCTACTGACTACATCATGAGGTTGCTTTGTGGACAGAATGGCAATGCATTAAAAAAAACAAAAACAAAAACATTTAACACAGCAAATTGCAGATAACGAGGGTCCCGTAAGTGAAGTTGTTGAAATATTTATGTAATAGCAAAATAGTTCACTACAGTAAAAGGTAACTGAAGGTTTTGTTTTTAAGGATGGTGTCAAGAGAGACCCTTTGGGT